ACATTTGTGTAAACCCCTTTCAATTTAGAGAAAACCCCCCCCCCCCAGATTATATAACAGATTACAGAAGAATAAATGGGAGTGGTTATCAGACTACATGTCATGGCTTACCCAATGTTTTGTCCTGGTATAGACAAGACTTCCTGTCCACCACGTTGGTTGCATGTGAATATATATATGTGTGGACTGATATAAAGACGCACAAGATTCTGACTGATTGAAATCTATAGTTCTCTCACAGTGAAGAGGGGCAAAAAGCTAAAACTACATGTAAAATTGCATTACAAAATGACAAGGAATGAGCCGAGGATTAAAAAGTTATGCAATTTTATGTTTCATTTTGTATTGGGTTGCTAGAATTTAAAAAAGCCTTTAGAAATAGAAGAAATTCTAGGCATATCATTTTCCAATCATTATCAAATCTAAATTCATTTACACACTTTATTGTTTTAAACAAATACATAAATAAGTAAATACAATTGCGGTGTAATTATGGTTTCATTTCTACTTCTCCTAAACAGCACACTCTGTCTTTGACTTCAAACAGGAGCTGATTTTCTTCTTCTAGTTTTCTACAAATTCTCTCCTCCTCTGGTGCGGATCAGTAAACATTGTCTCTCAGAGACTTCAATATTTCTGCAAAAAGTTCTGGTTGACCTATTGTGGAAATCATTCCCCATCCCACTTCCTTCCTTCTTTCCCGTACCACCCCTCCCTCTGCGTAACCTCCCCATTCCCGATGCCACACTCTATTCTCCAGTCTAGTGCTCTCCAATTACCATGTGGAGCCACTGGTTTGTTAAGATAAGTGAGGCAGCAGCTGCAGATAGAGCTCCAATCTTAAATAAAACACACCAACTTTTGGGTCTCACCTCATTGCTCCCACTGGTGGGGACCAAAACGCTGCCACCTACAGTAAGGCACTACACGGACACTTGTAAGCCGCAGCTAATTTATATTCCGCAGCAGTTTCATTCAGACCCCGGTTGTGAATTTACATGACGGGAACGGAAACATTGCACCATTCCCTGACCAGACTTAGGATGTTGTGAGTAATGAATAAAATCTGTGTCTGTGCAGGTTTGGCCCTTATTTGTATTAGTGTATATGTTTCTCCCTCTCTCTCTCTCTCTCTTTCTCTCTCTCTCTCTCTGTCAGTTTGTAAAACTAAAACTTTTTCTGTTTTCATTTTACGCTGGGCTTTGCAGTGAAAAGCCCCTGCCTCTAAAGGACTAGAGTTTTATCTTAATCTCTGGATGACAGTTCTGTCAAATTGGCAGCCCGCTGATTAAAAATGAAGACATTTCCTTCCTTTTTCATAGTCCACCGGCGTAAAGAAGAGGAAGGAAATCCAAGGACATTACTCTTTTAACCTTTTTTTTTTATTCTTGTCTCTCTCCTGCAGGTGTCGGGGGGCTGTGACTATATATATGTAAATGGGCAGGAGACAAAAGGAAAGAGCAGGGTGACGATTAATTTCACTTACGGCTCCTTGAGTGCCCAGCTGGAGATGAGTGTGTGGATGCCACGGCTGCCCTTGCTTATCGATGTGGCTGATCCTGAGCTCAGCCAGATTAAAGGCTGGAGGGTCCCAGTCCCTGCAGGAAACAGGAGGTAAGGAGGCCCTGTTCCAACAACCCACAAGATTTATGCCCAGGACACTGGCTTTTATTCTAAGAACAAGACCCAGTGCAGTGTTTTTGTACTGTGTACTCTAGCTCCATGTACTGTTTTAACAGTGTACTCAGAGCTGGAACTTGAAGTTGGTTTGTTCGGGTTGGCTAAAAAGTTTTCATTTTTGTGGATTTGGTCACAAGTTACTGTGAATATATAACTGCCTTCGTTGTAGCCAGTGAGCCACACAGCCATGATGGCATTATTGGCACTACAGCCGTCAAGTCCTCAGTGTTTGAGTCCAAGTTGGAGTTCATTCAGTCGTATCTTCTACCACTTGGCAGGAGCCAATCCCAGCAGTCATGAGGCGATGGCCAGGCTACAGCCTGAACGTGTCACCAGGCCATCACAGGCCCAAATACACAGACGAACCATCATTCACACTCACATTCACACATATGCTCAATTTAAAATGACCAATCAGACTGTGCTAAAAAAAATCACAACAGATCCACCAGGCCTGAGATGAAAGAAGAGGACACACAGGAAGGGGCTACTATTATTTATTTTATATATTTTTCTAACAATGATGACCTGACTTGACTTGGATCATGTTGAGAGAGTCCTACTAAGTACTTTACTCCACTCTGGCTAGTGCTTTTTACAAAGCCCCTGAATGAACGTCCTGACGACAAAGAAAAAGAAAATTTTTAGAAATGTAGTATTTCTTGCGCACGAGAGACTTATTCCTTTGTAGCGGTGAGCTGAGCTCTGTTGCAGTAATGTCCTTTCTCACAACCTGAAAATCACAGTTCTACGTTTAGAACCGTTCTGTCAAAGTGACAGCCCATTCAGACCAACAGTGCCCTGTGATGCAGACATCATCTGCAACATTCTGATGCTCTCAGCTTGATCTTCCAGCAGATGGAGCAAGCTGTCGGTTTGTATCAATCAGAATGTGGGGTTTTGTCAACTATTTCATTCACTATTTTTTTAAAGCTTTAATTTAATTTTTAATACTTATGGGTAGTATTTTCTTAAATATTGTATACACAGTTTCCATTTGATGTCCAGATCTGTTTGAGCAGTAGCCTCAAACCCTTGGCCTGGGGACCTCTTTCAGCCCACGTAAACCTTACATCTGGCCCATTCATGAATGTCAATAACAACTCAGTAATAATTTAATAATCAATGTTTTTGTATTGATTACCCAACACTAATATGGCCGTCCATTGACATGACGACTGCAGTACCGTTGTCGTGTTCACAGTTCACCATTGCTTAAACTTTTATTATTGAGATTTGAATAACTTCACCAACGTAAACCTTTTGATGTGCATGGAGGGAACAGTTCCTATACTGTACTGTATGTGTGACTCCACGGCAGAAGGAAGAGAAGCAAACAAAAACAGATGAAGCCGCGAAGATCTTAATCATTTTTTCGGCAAAGCTTATGTTCAGAGAGCTGGATGGTAATCCTACTGTCTGCACTGTTAAATTGGACTGTGTCCTATTGACAGGTGTGCACCCAATATCTCTGTATACTGTATATGGAATCAGTCCTTGTTTGCTGCATTAGGGATGGTGGGTACTGTAGCGTGAAACACACTTGCCCTGGAGATAAAGGTTAGTGGATTTTCACAGAGCAGCAACAGTCAAGTCATTATTTTTCACTCAGTACTGACGAGATTGGCTGATGACCTGGTAGTTTTCTCCAGGGCTTTTGGAAACTTCAGTAGAAATAATTTTATATATATATGTATGTATATATATATATATATATATATATATTATATATATAGGTATATATGTATATATACATATAAATAATATATATTAACATATACTCTATGTATATATGTGTATATACATGTGTGTATATGTATATATATATATATATATATATATATATATACAGTATATAGAAATTTACATGTATATATTTCTTAACCTTTATTGTAGCTCAATTATATATTTTCACTGATTAGTCTAAACACTATTGTTCAACCAGAGTTGAGGACCGACTTTCAAAGCCACCATCTAAAAACATAATTACAGAAAAAGAATTTCCGACATTCGATGAAAACAAATATATAAACTTAAAGTTGATTTGTTGCCTGGCCGTGACCCGATTTAATTAAAGCTGCATCTCCATCACAACAAGCTCCGACCGCAGGCTATGTAATAATTATGTGCATTTTTATTGTATTCCTTGACGTGAGATGTCTGTCTGCAGCATGACAGCGTCACCACCAACCCACCTGTGGTGCAGACGCCTTATTGTAATGTACCATCATCCCTGACCGTGTTAATGCTGACTCACCTTCTCTCAACACACACTCTGTCACCAACCATCAAACCAGTTGACCATTAAAGCCTGGTTAATTTCCCATTGGTTCATTTAGAAGTGTTTTCAGATCACTGATTGCTGTGCTGCATGTGTGGTGTGAAATGAAATGTAATACAATCAATTTACTATCAGCCTAGAGAAATTAGCTCGAGTGCCTCGTAGAGAAATAACTTTCAAAATAATAGAAAAAAAAGGAATTTTAATTCATATTTTCTGTATATGTAGGTCAGGGCTATTCCATCATCATTGGCAGTACCTTGATATTGATTAATTGAAAGAAGAAAACATTTCCTGTAATATATATATATATATATTAATCTCCATATCCTTAACGTCAGTTTTCTTTTGTGACATTTCTAATGGAGAATTTTTCTTTGTTGAATTCTGGAGGATGTCTTTGAGACCAAGTCACATTCTGCTGGTGTAAAGACTATTATCCAGTTTCTTTTAAAGGTTCTTAAGGGTTTTAAAAATAATTAAAAAGGTCTTTTCACTAGATCCACTAAATGTCACAGGATTCCATTTAGGTTTTTGTTAAAGATCGGATGTTCGCTCACTTCAGAGGCTTGAAAACCTCATACCAAAGCTAATGCTGCAAAACACCTTTACATACCCAGATATGACGATAAAAACATGTCCACGCAGTTGGACATTTTTGAGACAAATACTGTTTTAATGATTCAAATAACACACCTTTGAAATACGTTTTATCTTAGAACCTTTGCTCTTAGTCTTATACATATCACTGTATAAATTGCTAATGTAAATTAAAAAAAACTGTAGCAGCTAAAAATAAATAAATTAACAAATCGCTGTTTCTCCAGGACTGGAATGTGACCCACATGTGGGTCACAGGGGAAATTTGCAAGTAGCAAATAAAAAATGAACTGCAGATGGTGGTAATATACTGCATATATATGTATATATGTTAATCAGTGCTCAGTCATTGCTCTTGTCATATTTTTGACTCCCTTTGTTCAGTTAGGATACGATGGCATCTTCACAACATTGGCTTTATTGAAAAAAAGTTCCCTGAATTGAGCCAAATCCAGCATAGCATCAGCATTTCCCCAGTAGCTTAAGAAATAAGAGAAAACTATCTAGAACTTAGGATAAAAAAAATTAAAGCTGACATACTGGAAATGTATTTTTACTTTTTTTCATTTTTCTGCTTTTCTTAGGACCACATGGGACAGTGAGGAGGAAGAGGAGATACGGAAAGGCAAAGGCTGCATGCTGCAGTACCAGCACACAACACTAAGAGTCCTCACACCCTTTGTGGCACAGGCTGGTTCCGGGGCTCTGCCTCACCTGCAGACAGAGGGGGAGCCAGTTGAGTTCTTCCTGGGTCCTGATTGGCAGGTAAAACACTCAAAACCATATCTGGTCTCCAGATACTGTGGTGTGGTGAAAATGTTTGATGGACAAGGTAAGATGGTTAGGGTGTACTGTACCCCGAGGGGACGTAGTGGATATGCTGTACTGGGAAATGGATGTTGGAGATGGAGCTGTCAGCTGGGAGGAAAAGAGGAAGAAGCCAGGGAATATTCATGGATGAAGGGAAAGTGGACGTGGAGATGGTTGGACGGAAGACAAGGTGAAACAGAGAATGTGAAGCGGGTAGCGGGGAGGAAAATGACTCCCCCCTCCAATTTACTGTGCTGTTTCCGACTTACCGCGAAAGAGAAGGAAGTCATTTGATCCATACGCTCTTGGCAACTTTTGCTCTGCACAAAGTGAAGCTGTGAAGAACTCCAGAAGACATAGTGTCAAAACAGCGAGATAATTAACGTAAAGAACTTTGTTGTCACACGTAATAATATGAAAGGAAAACTGAGAGAATGTCACCAAGGCTGCACGATGATCATAGAAACATCAGCTGCTGAAATGGTTCTGTCTATAACGTCAGACACAGCCAGGAGCTTTGTTTCATTCAGTTTAGTTTGGCTTTTTACTGGTTTCACTTCGACTTCACATTACAGGGTTTTTTTTCATATATGATTGCACAGCTTTGACAGAAAAAATGATTAGTTGATGTGTTGATGTGTGTGGCTCAAATCAATGACCCCTGGGAGGAGGCGAAAAGTTGAAATTATTTTTATTGTATTGTTTACATTGATATTTCAGCCCCAATAACAAAACGGGAGGTAACCTTACTCTGCGTAAAAGGAGCATTTACACAAGAACACAACAACTGCCATTGTTGGTAACAGGCGCTCAATAAAAAACCCCTAAGTGGCTACATGACCAGAGGATCTCCAGTCAGTCCTGGAGGATGGAACTGAGACAATCAGTAAAAAAGTCCTGTGAGGTACGAACGTCTCACTGGGAGCTGAGAGACCAACTGACAACTGTGTTAGCTTTGTTAGCAAAAGCTACGAAAATATTCTTTGGAGAGTTTCACATGGTCATTGTTGGACACGTGTGTCTGTGGTTCTACCCTAAGATAAGCTGATGTGAAAAAATTAGATCACCGATGTCTTACGACTTGAGTTCCCAAACTTCTCCATGCCAAGGCCCCTCAAACAGCTTCTGGCCCGGGACCCCCTTTCCAAACCCACAGTTAATGCTACAAAAAGATGCAAAGAAACATCAACTTTTAGAATGTATATTCTTACTTCTATTCGCTATCCATTGATTGATTGATGATTACATTTGTTTAAAGTTGCAGCTTTCACACATGGTGCGTTCAGTTACCATCGGCAACTTGAAAGAATACTATGGCTGTTTATGGATTGGACATTTCAGGACAAATGTTTATTAATAAAAATCTTTTTTTCCTGGTGGCGCTTTGGCCCAGTGGCAATGTCTCTGTCATTGGTGTGGAACCACAGGGTTCATCTCCTGGGCAAGTTTGAATCCCAGTTAGGGCAGTTAATACCTTCCAGTGGACTCACCACCTGCAGGAAGGTTCAGGTGGGTTGGTACGATGCAGTGTGATTTGGGTGGTGGTCCTTGAGACTGCTGCCCCCACGACCCGGTAACGGATAAGCGGATAAAAATGGATGGATGGATGGATGGATTTTTTTCCCTGTCTTCCTAGCCTGGCGCCCCCTGGTGGCCCTCCAGGCCCTATGATACGCATTCTCATTAGACTTCTTTGGGCTATTATATACTATATATACTGTATGTGCTGTATATTTCCCAATGGTGACTACAATAAATATGTACACTCTATGGGGTGATTCAGGGTTACATTTTGCTGAAGTTATATATGTATAACTGATCATGTGACTAACTCAAATAATAAACTCTATAAAGACGCCTGGTCATATAAATGAAAAGAGTAGATGGATGGTATCTAGCTGATGCAGCCAAAAGATCTTCTGAATACATCCTGTTGTGTAATGTAGCAGAGAATGTAATGCTGTTATTTTCTGTTCAATATCTTCAGGTGGATGTGACCAATGTCGTCCGCGACTCTCTCAAAGTTGCCGACCTCGACGTAGCCAGGGTCCACGAGGGGGTGGTGTTGCAGGGCCGGGGTGTGGGTATTACTGCCGTACAGGTGAGCCCTGATGTCTGCGTGTCTGCGAGTGTGTGTATGAGTGTGATACCCCTGATGTTCCCCGGCCGTCAAACACAGCTGTACTGGTTGCAGGTGCTTTCCCCTTTGACATCAGCGGTCCTGGCCGAGAAGACCGTCAGGGTCGTGGATGACAAAGTGAGCGTGACAGAACTGGGAGTGCAGTTGATTTCTGGACTCTCTCTGTCACTGCAACTCAGCCCCGGGGGCAACAGCCGGGCCATAGTTGCCACAGCAACCGCACGGGAGACGATCATGCAGCTCAAGCAGGTAAAGCCTCCTGAAAATTAGTTACATATTAAAGCATTAAAGTCTGCAGCAGCGGCTGAGCTGTGTGAATATGGCAGTGTTTGTGGTTGCTGTGATGAATATTCAACCATGTCTACAAAGCTGTAGTAGAAAAGTCAAATCATGCTTCTGATAGGTCATTTTCTTT